TCAGCTGCTGCTTGATTTATGTGTCTTATTCAAAGAAAAGTGAATTTTCTCCTACAGAACAAAAGCACACATGTAGTCCATATATCTTACTTGGTTTTAACTTATGCCCTATTAGAATGCTACATTTACATAGAAGATTAAAGCATATCATATCCCATTTATCCAACACATAATTGTATTCTATTAACAAAAGTAAAAGAAAACACCACAGAACACTTTTACAAAGTGCACAATGAAGAGGTGTCACAGAAATATGCATTTTCTGTAGCTGTTACAAGCAGTGTGCAGTATGGACAAGCAGGCACTGTTATTTTTTCTTTCTTTTTAAAAGAACAAGGACATTTGAAAACTAAAGGGTCCTGTGGCACCCAAAACCTCTGACAGCTGCAACTAAACAGCATGAAGCGGCACATACATGTTTAACCACACAATTTTGCCAAGGCAAACATGAGTATGTCAATTTTGATTTTTATACGTCTACCAAACTTTGAGCAAAAGTAGGTGCACCTGTGCACTTACACCTGTCCTTCCTCTCTAAAGAGAACAGTGAGATCTGCTTCCTCCACACCCATGTTAACCTTTGGTAAGGAGCCCTGACCCAGGGACACTTGCCTTAGTGACACTTTGGATCTCTCTGAATTTTGGTTGTTCTTAATCAGCTACCAGCAGCAACTTTGCTAGTAGTAATTACAATTCCAGTACAAGCAGATGCTGAAAAAGAAAAGAGCAGAGAGAGAATAATGTGAGATATTTGCAAATGTGAATGAGTATCCACTTTGTAAAAAAGAGGGATGGCACTTTAGAAAACATCTCCTATTAACAAAAGTACTGCCAATTCCATTCTTGCATTTCTTAGTGATACCGTTTATAAAGCTAGAATGAAAAGTGCTGGGTTTAAAGTTTCTAAAGACTTTTTAGACTTTAGCAAAAGGCTGGATTACAAATAAGGCTTCCTGCTTGGACTGGATTCATGTCAGATTTAATAAGCAGCAGACCCACACCTTTTACAGTAACAACCCTTTCTGCTTGCGTGGTCCAGAGGGCATGTTTCTTCACTCTCATGCAGATTTGAAAGGTCTGGGGAGACAGAAAGCAGCAAAGTCCTGGCTAAAACCATTAAGCAAGAAATTGTAACAATTTCTCTTTCAGGGCTTGTTACATACTACTGCTTCAGCTTTTGGTCTATACAATGCACTAGTAGTAGGCTAGGGAGACAGAAGGAAAATCTCTTCCATAGACTTTATAAATCATACTGGCACAACAACAGCTCTTTTTAACTGATGTTTCATAACAGCCTCAGTAATTCCAGAGTTAGTTCTCACAGGCTACAGAATAAAATGCATAGCTGCACACAAAGCAAAACTGAAAGAGGTCTGCTAGGTTTGTAAGTGTGCAACTCAAGAGAGCAATGCTTCATGTAGCTCAAGCCACAGGAGTCATTGTAAAGTCTGTTGACTTTTAAGACTGCGGTTGTTGCCTACATAGCAAAGTTATCTTCAGCAAAGGCTGACCACCCCCTGCTCTGCATCATCTTCCCAGTAATCATACAGATGCTGTGGCACTGAAACTATTCATGGATCCAGCTTCCCCTGCATCACTGTCTACTCACCTGGATGCTCCACCAAATCTAATGGGGTCCTGAATGAGCCAAGGGAGGGCAAGAGGCAGAAAATACAGATACATACTTACAGGTTTCAATTGTCATCACTAAAGGAAAGAGAAGTTCCACACCTTCTAGGGCATAGGTCACTGCTGTTTAGTTGTTTAGTCACAAAGCAATTGCTAGGGGTAACCTAGTAATTTTACAGGACCAAGCAGTGAAGTATATGCAACTATAGTCTATACAACAACAAACTGACTAGGCTGGATTTTTTCAAGTCAAGGTTTCCTGCTTACTACAGTTGGAGCAAGCCTTGCAATATTCTTAAGCTGAAACAAAGCAGCTACCTTCTCTGGGCATCTTCTACAGCAGCTTCTACAAAGCTCTCCTACTATGTCCAACACCACATTTGCTAAACCTCATAGACATGAAAAAAAAAAAGAAAAATAGGAAAATCAAAATGAAATCTTATGGCAATGTTTTCAAGATTAACTTCTTCAGGTATGCAAAGATTTTGTTTTTAACTAGTATGGATGAGAGAAAAAACAGACTGGTAAAAAATCATTGCTTTCTGTGAAACACTGATTGAAAAAAGAGAATGCCTTCTCTTTAGAAGCAAAACATACCATAACATGTCAAAGAGGCTGGCATTGTTTTATACCCTACTTCTAGGACTAAATATAATTTATATAGATTTCAGATTAGCAAAAATTAAGAGATGTATGTGCTAAGCACACTGGATGATTTTTGTGGAAATTAAGTTTTCTTATAAGACAGTCTGTCAAAAGAAGGAAAGTAACAAGGGCGTGTTGCATCCATGCTGCAAAAACAAGTAGAACACATGTAGAACAGAAAAGAAATCCAGCAAGAACAGACTGAACTGTCTCAATCCAAGACCAAGCCATGACGCATGACATCTTCATCACATAGGGCAGAAATTCACAACAGCCATAACCTTGAACAATTGGGTTGAATTATTTCATCAATGAAAATTTTGAGGGATTTTTGTTTCTGAGGGGTTTCTTTGGCTGCAAGTTTTTGCCTGTTGTCATTTTTAAGCACACAACAAAAGCAGAGACACACTGTCATCCAGGCAGATGTGAAAGCTTTGTTTATCAGTTATTCAAATTGTGCTTCCTAGTACACCTGCTTGGGTATTTGCATGTTCATCCCCAGCATGATCAAAACTCATGCTATATGATGGGAAATGTGGAGAACTGAAGGGACATGTGAGGCCAGATGGGACACATTTGAGGTTGCTGGAGAAGCTGGTTGTTATCACTACAAGGTCACTCTTTGTCACCCTTGAAAGGTCACTGTGAATAGAGGAGGGCTGTGTTACTGTGAAAAGGCAAATGTTATAACCATCTTCCCAGAAAGGTAAGGACAAGGATCCAGAGAACCCAGAGCAGGAAATCTCACCTCAGCTCACCAAGTATGGTGCAAGTTTGCACAGGAGGCAATGTCAGACCCATTTATTAGAAGAAAATGACAGGAACTGTGAGCTGTATGGTGAGACTAAGGTAGGTTTACCCAGTGCTTTGGTGTGTTACCAACTTCCCTAAGAAACATATCACCATGGTCAGCCAGGATTATGGACATGTCCAGTACACGTCCCTTACTCCTGGTCTCCTGCTCCCATGCATGCCCAACTCTTGCCTGCTCTAGCCCACGCCTCCCAGTAGCATTTTAAGAGATGCTCTGTAACACGAAAAGAGAACAATGTTTGAAAGTGCAGCCACAAAGGAGAGGAAGGACTTACTGCCATATCACAGGGTGGCTCAACACTGCAGGGCAGCAAAGGTTCTCAGAATCATATTATGATGATTACTACTTAAGGAAGTACAGCAAAACATTTTCTTTGTTCTCAGTGAGAAAGCATTGCAAAGGCATACTGAAAAGTTATCTAAAACTGACCAGTTTCCCTGGATTACAGTTTTTGCAAGAAATCACAGTTTAAAGATAATCAATACCTTTTTGACTAGAAAGAATAGCAAAGGTAGCTAGTCACTGTCTTAACCTCTATTACACTGAACCAACTTCTACACTTACAGACACAGCGTGTGTGATCATTTAATGTACAAAGACACATGACAAGGCAAACAGATTTCAGGTTTTCTAGATTTGTTTTGTCTAATACTGCAGCTGCACCACATTGATTTGGGAAGTCCCTGATTCCAGTCCTTCCTGTACTCTGTGTAGTCACTATGCTCTATATGACAGTTGACATTAGGTTACCACTTAATCAAAGTCAGAGGTTTCATCAATCGCTATATGCTGGGGATTTCCCTTTAGCCTTTAATTCTCTTATTCATGAGGAGCAGAAGAAATGAAGTCTTCTCAAAATCTAAAAAAAAAAAAAAGTATAAAATGCTGTAGTTTTTGTTTCAATTTCTAAATAATTGTTAGGACCTGAGGCAAAAATTGCAGCACTTAATATATATATATCAGCTTTTGATTTCCAGCAGTGTTGTCTCCAGGGAAGCTAGAGTACACCACCAAAAAAGCTACTTTCATGAGTTTGCTAATACATAGTTGTATGTGCTTTTAAATCTTCTTGCTACATTTATCTCCACTTTCTCAACATTTAGTTAGTGTAAGCTCCCAGAAGCAAGGGAAGAAGGGAATCTTTGCTATAATCACAGAGCCTTGAGATTAAACTTTAATTTGTACTGATGAGGAAAAACGGAGGGAGGGACAGATTTAAGAAGGACCTCTGAACACAATAATTTACTATATTTCATTGCATTTCAAGAAATTTCAACATATGAAAAAATTCTGTTTGAAACAACAAAACCAGAAACTTTGTAGCACTTTTAATCTGTTGTACAGGTAACACTCCATAAGAAAGTATCCTAAGATGCCAGTGTTTATACTGAGTAACTAGATTGCAATGAAAATAATCTGTTTTGAAATCCATACATCCCAAACTGGGTTCCACATATTAAATCATGATTTGAGGAGGAAAAACAAGGCATTAATTCTTCTCCACTTTGGATGCTGTTCAAAGAATCAGAGCACACACCTCTTCTCAAATCTCCATCTGTCCACTGCTTACTGTCCTTAGAAATTCCTTGTAAGTTGACAATAGGCAGGGAACTAGACATACAAGCCCAAGGTGGGGAATGCCTTGGCTAAGAAACTTACCTCATTCTGTCCATCATACTTCTTGATGAGGTGGCATCAGTTGCAATACCAATGCCTAGACCTCTGCCAATTAATTCCAATGTTGTTTGCTGGATGCATATATGAGTCCGCAGGGGAGAAATCAAAGGCAAAACAGCCACCAACAAACCATTATTATAAAACATTAGTAGTACAATGCCAGATTAGAGTGCCTAATTAATTGGAGCTCAAATATGTATTTTTCTACCCCTGACATTACTAGGGAACTCAAAGTGCATTTTAAATGCCAACAAAGACTGAGACAAGAGCCTGTAGTTTACAATACCTCATTTCAAATTTTATTATGAGATAATATCAAATACAACACAAGACTAACATTCTGTAGAGGATATCTGAGCTCTAAGCAATATAAATTGAGTTGTTTGTTTTTTTTTTTTTTTTTTTGTAATTACAGAAAGAAATGCTTAATACTTCCGTTGGCCAACAGACATTACCATAAACCAGAGCAGGAATAGCAAGACATTGTACTCCAAAGAGGACACACTGCTGACTCCAGGGATCTCTGCTAATGCTGTTTCAACTTTTGGCAACACCACTGCAAACTTTGCCTTGGGAAGCACCAGTTTAGGTCCTGTTAAACCAATTTCTTGCACAGTGCTGCCAAGACCTTTGGGATAGTGTTCAGTTAAAATAACTGGAATTCCAAAGATCCATGCACCTTGGAGCTGCAAGGGGGCAGGGAGGAAAGCATGCAACAAAACTACTAAAAAGAATAATTGCAGAGACATTGTTATTACCTGAAACTGAGCAATTGTTAAACTGCGTGTAAAATAACAGTTTACATGTATGATCAAAACTCACTACAAGAAAAAAACCCAACAAACATACCAGTTGCTGACCCACGCTGATGATATAGCCAAAGTACTTGATGGCAGGCCTGAATCACTCTTGCATATCCCAACAGAAAAAAAATAAATTGGTGCTTGAAAGTGTCAGGTCACCCAAAGCAGTAATCTGAAAAATGAAATAAGGATAATGTTTTCCACAGTAGTGAAGACCCTTGAAGAAAAGAAGCAGAATGAGAAAGAGTCTGCAAAGTCTCTGCCAGGTAACAGGTTTCTGCTACTTTGAGTCAAAACAGAAGAAAGGTTTTTCAAGCCTGATCTTCATATATTCCTAAATTCAAATGAGTAGCCAATACTGAACAGCGTGGTAGAGTCATCAATACTTAATCAAGATTCATCAATAGGGAGACACACGTTAATGTACATAGAAATCTATTTTTAAGTCCTCCACTCTTGGAACTGATACAGAATCAGGATAAAGTTTAAAAAAAAGTCTGACTTCCACTTGATTTCAAATGGTGCATGTACATGTATTTTTCAATACTTTCATTGTGTAGCAGTCCAGTTTGTCTAGGATATCTTTTAGCACAAGTTTGATGAAAGTCCAAGGGCTAGAATAAAAGCAGAGAAGCTTGTCAATATTATAAATAGAAACTGAACTAAATACATTTTAAGGACAAAAATAATCTCCTAGATTTTTCCCTCACACAGGCTACCAAGTGGGGTAGAAAGGAGGAGACAAGAAAAATTTAATTTTCTCACACTTTGAAAGAGTGCTTTGTATTTTTAGGAAATTACTTTCACTACCTGTAGAAGAAAAGAATAAGGCTTCATCTGGAAGCTACAGGGCAAGAAAACAGCTACATACTATCATTTAGTTGCAAGGCAGCTCAAGAGAAATTACATCCACTCCGGAGCTTTTCAGCAGACTGATAAGTCAAATTGAATAAACTGCTTCTGGGAAGTAGCCATTAATTGCATACACTTCATTTGCTGCAAACTGAGACTGTGATGTTTTAAACCAAATCAAAAGTACAAAATCTGTGACATAATGTGTTTTGGAAGAGTGCAGATATACCTGTCTGTTGAGGCACATGCAGTAACAACCATGAAGCAAATGCTTTAACATTGGACCCACTGATGTCACAGAAAGACAGAAGAGCATCACAGCATGCCTCAGGGAAATCTTTTGCACTAAGAAGATGCAGCTGCACTGTTACCACAGGTTATGGGATCTTCATCCTTGGTGTGTTTCAGCATTCAGCAAAGCAGCAGCTGATTTGATTAAGGAGATAAGGAAGACAACCTCTAAATATCTCTCCCAAATGACACTTCTACAATTCTACACCATCTAATAAAGCAGGCCAAGGACCAAGAAAGATTGGACATGAAATTAAATATTGATGACTGCCTTGTTCTTGAACACCATCCATCTACATGCAGCAACAATGCAGAAACCAGCTGGTAGGAAGTACTCTTGTACAATCCAACACAACAGTGAGCATCTACTGTGACCCATTCCAACTCTGGCACTTACTACTATTAGAGAAGCCAGTCACGACATTCAACTTTCCTACTACTCAGCAATAAAAATAGAATTGGAATAGACTGTATATAGAAGTGTGGCTCCTACTCAGAAAATGTGTCGGTTTCTTTTGGCATTTATACAGCAAGAAAAGACTATTAGTTTCCTCTATAAATCATTTCATCACTCTAAATTTTTTAAGATAATTTTGAACTACCACAAACCATCATGGATTGTAGAATGAGCTCCATGGAGTTAGTCCTTAGAATACACCTTCCTATGCCAACACAGCAGATGTCACTACATCCTCAGGAGAGGAACAAATGTGAATGGACTAGGAAGGTCTTCAAGAAACTACATAGTCTGCCTCTACAGAAGGATCAAACAAATGCAAATATTTTTCACAGATGCCCATTTGTTCTGTCCCATCAGCAATAGAGCTTCTATACATCCCATACCACTGCTCTGTTATATTTACCTTGCAGTGTTTTCTCACCCACACCTCCTCTGTTGCCATTTAAGAGTGCTATTTCCAGTTACATCCATGGTGAATTTGGAATACAGGAGTGTTACCATCTTCCTTCACATGGATAACCATGCACAAAACCTATTACCATACCTCAAGGTTCAGACCTGGTCTCCTTTTAGTCCTTCCCCTCCCTCTCCTTATTCTAAAACATGTCTAATGCTTTTAATCTTACTTCCTACAACTCGAATAATTTTCATGGTCCTCCTTGGGCTAGTTTTCAGATTGCAGGCTACAGCAGGACACCCAATGCTGCTAAAGCAGCAGTGCTTCTCTGCCCATACTTCCCTGCACTAGCAGAGCCTCAAAGATCAGCCAATTCACAGCTCTTGCAGGCACCACTTATATTGTACTTTCCAGTATGCTATTTGCTCTTTTCATAATTGATAATACTGAGACTCCTGAGGTGCATTTAAAATTTAAAATCATCCCTTGAGCTCTCCCTCATCTTTTATTTGTGCAGTTGATTATTTCTACATTTGTTGCTTCCATTTCAAACTGCATCTTATTTCACTTTGTTTCTCCAACTTATCATGAAAACCTGAATCCTGCTTGCTTGGATGTTGGCAGTTCCTCTCAGTCCTTCTTGGAACCTTCTGCAAAACCAATATTTGCTCTAAGTTTCCTCGATGACAATGATGATGAAATAATTACAAACAGTGGATTTGTAACCAATCTTATAGAGCCCAACTCCATATTATTTGACCATGAGGTGCAGAAGAAAACTTTGCAGCCAGGGAGCATCATCTTTTATAGACTTCCACTGAAACCATAATTCCACATGATTGTGTCAACATTACAGGGGGCAGGAACAAAAGCCTTTCTGCTTTTCTCTATTATCAAGCTGGTTTCATATGATTTAACTTGTGCCTTCAGGTTAATACCAGTGGCACTCTAAAATAAAGTTGTGTCAACTCTATGTTTGCCAAATAAAAGCTTTTACCAAATCTAACATGAATAATTTCTATATTGATTTTCGTATGCATTTCTGATTAACTTGCAGTCTGAATCATGGCAGAAGAAGAAACTGGAAGAAGATGGTAAGATCAAAAAATCAACACTTGCTTATGTTACCTGGAATAGGAGATGTGAGAAGAACAGAGTGCAGCAGAAAGCAGTTTGAAATCAAGTTTCATAAACAGTGGCTAACACAGTCACATTCATATAAGTATTTCCTATCTTATAGGAAAGGTTCTATTTACAGGTTCTTCGATATGCCACGTTAATCCTACTGCTCATTTGCTTTCAAAGCCATGCTCCCCTTCTACAGCCACACTGCATCAGGGAGTGGGACACCTCCATATATCCTGAGACACTGAAAAGCATTGTCTGCCACACCACTTCAGTGCCAGACCCTACCAGTGAGGTGGGGTGGGGGTAATCCCAGACAAAAACATCAAGCTCTGGGCTGACCCACCCGCACATGTTTGATTTCACTCCAAAGAGAGACAGGCTGGGCAAGGATGGTGAGCCACTGCAACCACTTCACCTCTTTTAGTTAATCACCAGGAGTTTATTGCCTCCAGCTGGAGGTTATCCACAGCACAATACGAATAGGTACATCAAATGGATATGTAACCTGATGCAGCTCTTTTATCCAGCTGGAAAAATCACCTCTAGGACCTTGTCCAGACCAGGATTTAAAGGTATGCTGTCACAAGTTACATAGAGCTTTAAATCCTGCCCTAAACAAGGCCTAGGTGGGAAGGAAAGGTGCTTTTCACGTATCTTTCATGTCTGCTGATCATTATTAATCAGGAAAAACATGATTATGATGAAGTACTATAACTGCAGCTTCAGCTTTAATAAAATATACACATATACTGGCTCTGTACCTCTGCTTTCCCTATTCAAACTTCAGGAAACCAT